CCCCGATTCTCCTTAAAAAAAACGGCTACGTGGTCGACGTGATGATAGATAATGCGCTGTAACGTCCTGACCTATGAAATTCACCAGTCATCGTATAGGCACGCAAGATCCAAATGCACAATAATTCTTCCTTTATTCATGGATCGATTCCAACCTGGAACGGTTACACGAGCACCGCAAAGTCAAGTGCACGCGCTCCCGAACTTGGTCCTTCAATATCACCGTTTGGTGACTCTGGTCCTTCCCGAACTTGGTCCTTCAATATCACCGTTTGGTGTCCGGACAAAAATTCGGTTGAAAAAGTCTAATGGAAAAAGCTGAACGGAAAAAGTCGCCAGCGATACAACTCGCATCAGAAAAAAGCCAAAGGGTAAAACGTCAACAGCAATAAAAGAGTCCACGAGTCGTCGTCAGGAAGTCCACGAGGCACTGGGACGTGTTTATGATGGCCCACTCGTGACCATAAGCACTGCTTGAAACGCCGAGTACTGGCAACGCAATAAATGGTTGTTCTATGACGTCGTTTAGCCGTACCTCCTGGTATGATGCATCCCGATAACTCAGCTGGAGAATGGAAAGGGTTTGATCTCGTCCTGTTTGCCCGGATCCGTCCGGTTTCGTCTGGTTCGGTCTGGTTCGGTCTGGTCCCGTCTGGCCTTGTTCTGTCCCATCCGGTTCCCTCCCGACCACGTCCGGTGACTTCAGATCCCATGTTTAATTGCGCCCGGGGCGCAATTAAAGACCATGTGTGACCGGCGGTCACGGATGGTCCCATGTGGTGCCGCCCGATCCGGTCCAGTCTCGTCCGATCTGGTCCCATCTGGTCGCGTCCGGTTCAGCCCGATCCAGTTCCATCTTGTCTGTTCTCATCCGGTCCCTCCTGGTGTGATCTGGTCCCGTACGGTCCCGCCCGTTTCCTGTCCGATCCTATCCACTCCCATCTGTCTCATCCAGACTCAGCTGGTGTTATCTGCATCTCACGTGGTCACAGTTTTATCAAGTATTTAAATGCCTCGGGCCTGGGCCATTTAAAAACTGCTCGTCTGTGCATTGGTGCAGGAGTATTGGTGTATGTGTTGTCAGGCTTCTCCATGACTTTGCCATCATTGATTACTGCTGGAGGTCAACGTCTCGCTGTTACATTTACCAGACAATCGCCGAGAACACAATGATTGCTTTCTGTACCATAAGGAGCCCAAATACGCGGTCACCAAACGCGCAGTTTGTAAGAATTTTATTCTGAATCTGAAAACGGCTGCACGGGCGACGCGATGCCAGGAACGTGTCGTTCTAGCAGCCTGACATGCAAATGTCGTCACCGCTCAGCACCCAGGTAGTTAAGGGCCGAATACAGGTCACACGCCATGTGTTCAGGATGACCATGATACGCCTAGACTGAATGGTCACGCGGTCTTCCCACAGTGCACGGATCCCAAATAGGAACACAGCTGCATGGGTCGCGGCATCCTCCACGTACACTTTCAACAGCCTGATCTCCATGGGGGGGGGGGAATATAGCCTCCATGCATTTTGGGGTTGAATAAATTGTTATTGATAGCTTTCTCAATAGTACAATCAACTGATCTCAAATCTGAAGGCGCTTACATGGTCATCATGACGTCGATTACACGCTTTTTTCAACAACCTGACATTCAGATATCATCGTCTAGCCTCCAGGCACGTGGAGGTAAAAATGCATGCAAGGGTTATCTCGTCAATAGTGCATAGATTCCAATCTAAATGCTGCTAATTGGACACCGAAGCTTAAGATAAATGGATTTCCAACAACTTGACCAACCGAAGTCACCGCATAAGTATTTGAGAATTACATTCACGGTCACCTTCCCTCCGACAATAATTCATTGGCTCGTATTCCGGCCTTGCTACGTGCATGACCCCAAGAGATCAACTTATGAAAAGCGCATCATCTAGGCTGTGGAGCGATCACCAGTCGGTTTCATGATTGTTGGCCGGTACGTAGTGTGAGAGCTATGCGTGAACACGTTTAACGTTACGTATTATGGTACGATCGCGTGACCGTTTAGGCCAGGCGTATCACGGTTATCATGCATGAGCACGTGATGTGTGACCTGTATTTCACCCCTAATTACCTGGATGCTTAACAGCTACCTTGCACGTGGGACCGCTAAGAGGGCCAATTCCTGGCATCACGTCGACTATGTGGCCGTTTCCAGATTCATATTTTTTTACAAATATTGTTTTTGGTTACCACGTACTTGGCCTCTACGTGCGGATTATGCGATGGAATTTTTAGGCCAAGGTTGTAAAACTGCACGCGTCTCAAGTCACGCGAGCCATGAAGTTGTTTCCAGTTCTAATTCAATGCACTTCACTGAAGGAATTTTGGGTGAACACATTTGAGTACCTGCAATAGCTGCGTTTAAACGGTGATATCTGCATGACAGCTAGTTAAAAGCAAATTTTTCTGACGTCATAGCAATGACGTGGAAATCTTTAGATTTGGAATTGACGAATCATTGATGGAGTTATCGGTGACTGTACGCTAGTCCTGGACCGCAGTAGGAAGTATGCCTGACATCACGGTGACCACATAGCCGCTTTAAAATTTGGAACTAATAAATTGTTGAAGGAGCTGTGCGCTACCACGTAATTGAACCTTGAGCGCGCGGGGGCTGGAAGCAGACAGTGACATATCGATGTCGAGGTGTTAAAATGCATATGTTTGAAACCCTGTTGACTTTGGCAGCCGTCGTCAATAAGCGCAGTGATACATTCTTGACGGAGTTATTGATGGTAGTGCTTTTTACCTCAGATCGCTCGGAGGCCGTACCCCGACACTTTCACGTCCGATTAGTAAAAGTGCATACACTTTGCGTCACGGTTGCCATGCAAATTTGCATATTTGAATTGAATAATGCGTTACGATGATGATGCTGTATTAGATGCTGTGTGCGAGACTTGTTTTTTATACTGGTCACCGGAGACGCCTGGGTGACGAATGGCGATCTTCGGAGGCGGGATTGCTGAAAGGGCGGAAACCTGACGCCACAGCATTTTCGTAGCCTTTTATTATGCCACGCTATACGATTTTGGCATTATACGTGGCTGGGTAAACTCTACGCACATTTTTTAAAAAATAAACCCGTGTGCGAACACGCACAATGCGGCCAAGCAGACTCGGGTATATGGTTTACTTCGTTGCTTACCCTGACAAAATCACGTCCCATTAATAATCACCTGTTGGCCCATAGCCATCCCTACATCACCCCTGTCCATTCCAAATGTGCGAACCGCTTTGGGGCCCTCTGACAGCCTCGCCTGCCACAGTCCTGGTAGGTCAGGCTCCTGGGCTCGGCAGCAGCCTTATCACTTAGAAAACGTGAAGATCGCTGAGGGTCTCCCGCTTGCTTCAAAGCCGCCTTGAATGTTTTGGGGGCCTGCTTGTTTCAAACCTGAGCCCTTGGTACTGTCCGAGACACGTGGTCCTATCAGAGGGTCACCTCCAGTGCCGTACCTACTTCGAGCCATGCTCCTGCTGGCTGTTGACCGAACGATGCAGAACATGTACGAGAGGAGGCGTTAGGCGCGGCTCGTTACGTGCTTGAGAACGTGGCAGGCGCTGGACTGCGCGGCTAAGGGCGTCTGAATTAAAGGCAAGCATGAAGTGACGCCTAGTGCGTCTCATTCAACCAGCAGACATAACACCGCCAAATGCTTTGCATTGCTCAGACAGGAAATTCCTGTTAAAAAGCCTTTTAGGCATTCCGCGAAGGTTTATTGGTGGTGCTCCATACACTGTTCCATCTCTCAAATCCGGCGTTTCCCTGAAACGGAAGCACCGACCATATAACTGCCCACCTTTTCACTCCCATACGTGGCCGGTTACGCGGCGCCGGCCTGCTCTGTTATGCTCGGGCCCCGCAGCGCTGTGTCGGCAGCTGGCAGGTAGCATGGCGTGGGCCGGAACACACAAACACCAGACTGCCAGTCGTTGGCGCTCGTTGATGAAACGTGTTCAGCATTTGTTACATCCGCGCACCCAAGAGCGATGTGACGGCTTGTAATATTGCGTAATTATTTAATAATTATCAATAACTTCGGCGCACGCCTTGTGTGGGTTTCGGCAACGAAGCAGTCCCGTGCCTGTTCCATCGGACGAGCGCGCTGGGTCCAGGCGGCTAGCAAAGTACGGCCGTGGAGGTAGCCCACGAAACTTGAACATTGGCCCAAGAGTACAGAATGTTTCTTTCAACGTCGACGAACTCGTCTCCAAACCTCGACAGGACATGTTTTTAACTCCCGTGTGACTCGAATAGACACCGTTCACGAACACAACAGAAATTGCCAACGTTATATTGTCCAAAAAATAAACACTATGTGACGCATAAACAAGGCTGAAAATTTGTGATGGCAATACGCATGACACATAATACCTAAATCAACAAACACGGACCAACCACCAGTCCCAGCCAAGCCATCACCTTTTTACAGACACTGCCACATACGGCACTAGGCATACTGTTTTTTGGTACCAAAACCTATAACAAATAGTTGCATAAAAAGCGGCCAATTTTGACACAAGTACAAGGAAGTCCGTCCAAAGATACCTCAGCTACATCCAGGTGCGCTTCCTCGGAAAATAACGGACACGAACTCGAGAACGCGGGCAACGGCCACGTTCAAACGAATTCTATGTTCAGGCTGGTCCAGCGTGGCGCGTGCTGAGGCCCCTGCCGCCGTGGCCGTCCGCCCACGCCCTCACCCGCGCACCAGCCATCCGCAGCACACGTCCGCAGCTGCCCAGCATACACGCACCACCTGTCGCGGGCTCCGACGCAGCGCACAACCAGCTCAGTCCACACGTCGCCCGTCCGCCGCGACACCCACACCCACACCCACCGCACGCGAAGCAGGCCGTCTCCACGCACGCCGCCGGCCGGCCGCGTCCTTCCGGAAGCGAGCACAACGAGGCGACGGTTAACAACGGTCGAACCGCCGCGGCGCCGGGCGAGCGGTCTTGTGAGTGCGGCAGAGCCGGGCGGACAAGACCTGCCGCCGCCGGCGAAGCTCAGAACCCCGCGGCGAGGGCGGCGCGTCGGCCGCGGCCCGGTCCGTCAGGCGGCGCGAGCTCGGCGCCGGTCCACTACTCAGTCTTCTTGGCCTCTGCTGCCTCGGCCTCCTCGGGATGGTCCTCGTACCTGAGCGGGAGCGGTCGGGGCGTGAATGTCACGACCGTGTGAAGATGCCGGAGCGAGCGACACTCCCAATGGACGTAAACACAGATTTCAAGCACATCAGCCACACACTCCATGGCATGCAGCACAAATTTCGCGCAACGCATCTGCACGTTCCCGACGAATCAATCCAGTAGGTCTCGAAAAAGTCCAGTCATTCGGTCCCCGGAGACCCCTTTCCGCACACCGCCTGCCCCTAGAGCGCTACAGCGGCCACCAGGGACTGCCGCCCAACCTGCCGCTCCGGCTCAGCGAGAAGCGGCTGCGGACACTCACTGGAACATGGTCTTGATGTCGCCCCGCACCAGGGCGAGCAGGAGCGGGGTGCCCAGGCACGCGGGCACCAGGTACAGCAGCGCCGGCTGCGCGTGCTTGTACACGTGCATGATGAAGATGGTGGTGAGCAGGCCGGCCACATAGGCCGCGAATGTCATATAGAAGTACACCTTCGAGCCCCGCTTCAGACTGGAATCAAAGAAGCAATGTCAGCTCTCGGAATATCTAGGCGACGGGCAATTGCATTTGCACTGGGTCACAATATTGGATAAAACAAAACAATTGCCATGAAAGCGCAGCCAGGTGTTACCCCTGACGCGTGCAATACCGAGTCGTATGTGTTCCACGCCGAGAGCAAGGGTGGCGACGGGTGCCGGGTCACCGGTTTGTCCGGTCAGCTGACACTGGTGACACCAGTGACCCCTGGTGCACAGGGTCCTGCCTCTGCCGAGGCTGTACGGGCGGAGGCAGCAGCGGCGCTCACCTCATGTCAAAGCGGAGCAGAAGGGCGATGAAGATGCCCGGAATGACGATGTCGCCCCAAGCCCAGCATGGCGAAGTTGTTGGCGGCCAGGCCCTTCTCCAGTAGATCTTGCGGGAAGACGACTAGAAAAGAACGTCAGGATATGTCACGGGGGTGGCGTGCAGGCCAGAGGCTGCGCCCCAGTGAGAGCGCGTGTCAATGACACGGCCGCGCGGACCTGGCTCCCTGGCCACTGGGTGACATCCTAGTCTCCGCACCGCCCCCTCGGAGGGGCTGCTGTGGAAACCCCTCACCGCGCAGTGCAGCATACATTAACACAGACACTCATCGTTCAGCCTTCGTAATGGCCGAGTTCGGCCCTGGTCTCCAGTGCGTATGTCACAACCTTCCTCTCCACACTGCACATTGCCAAGAGCATTGAAAGCCCGTGGCTGGCATTTTAAGACAGGTGTGACGCGTTAATCTGTTTATCGCCGTCGCTGCTCCTCCGCTTCTGCCTCCCCCTCCCCCCCCCCCCCCCCTCCACACCGTAACCACTCTGACGGCGCGGGGGTCTCACAGGGAGCCCACCTGCCCCGTCCCGGCTTTCACGTACGCTTGATGGGCGCCTCGAATGAGCGGGCGACAGTAACCATGACGTCAGTGCCGAACACCCAGAAGATGTCGTAGATGAAGAGGCCGCCCAACAGGATGACGCCCGTCAGCACGCTGTTCAGGTGCAGCATCTCCACCCCGTTCACGGAAAACGCCAGGCCGAAGATGTTGTTAGCGATCCAGTGCTGAGGGGAGACGGGGGGGGGGGGGAGGGTCAAATGGGTGCGGGACGAGAGCCTGGTCACACTCCCAACTCATCTGGTCAGTGCGGTCTTTGTCCTATTCTCAGCCTCCTGATCTTTGCCGGAGCCCCTCCGTATAACAGCCTAGTCCCATAAAAAACAACAACAAATTGAACTTCACTGCTTCCATATGGAGCTGGCGGCTCCTGACCTTGAACTGCGACGCCACTCTGCCCGGCTCAGCCAAGCCCACCTTATAAGCGAGCTTCGCCATGTCGGAAGCATTTTTCTACACATCGGTCTGCATACGCTCCTGTTCTATGGATGGGGGAAGAAGACACGGGAGGAGAAGGTCACGTGTGACGTGGCCCACCCGGTCCTGGGGTTGGGAGTTTAACGTCGGCCGCGCGACTGACGTGACTGCTCAAATGACTTATATTAAGCATGGAAAGGACTGGCCGTGAAACAATTCGAACGCCACACTTCTCGGGCCGTTTGTGCGCCTCGGACGCCGATCTGGATTTTCCGGCGGGTCTGTTCGGATTTAAGACGCCATTTACGAGGGTCGCACGCTTCTCATGACCTTCTGTGGGCTCGGTGCGACCAGCAGCACAAGGATTTTTCACACCTACAAAAACCTTTGGCGGTCTTCTGGTCAATTGAAAACAAATAACCAGCTATGCCTACGCAAAATGCAAAGCTATTTTGCCTTCGTTGTAAAGGAAGATCATCTGCGATACAGTATGCCACACGCGAGGACCGATACTTTGCACAGAGCTCTAAGTTCCTCGGGAATCAGCCTTATATGCATTTGGAGGCATACTTCTGCTTCATTCCACCGCTTGATTACGCCCAAAGTGGGCACACCGGTTAAAATAGACTTCAAAGAACAAAACGTCCAAAAAACTGATCGTTTTCAATATGTGTCCTCCCTCCATGTATGACTTATAATACGCCTTACCGCTGCGCACACCCAACGTGCGCCTACGACTACAGCTTGCAGACGGGTGTTGCCCGGGTTTCTTGCGGCTAGTACTCTCCGGGAGGGTATTCCCCGACTTCGTTGCGTACGCGGCCCCCTGGCGAGTACGTCCAGGGATCCCCAGCCGGTCACCTCCAGGCGGGTATTCCCTGACTGTTGCGTACGCGGCCCCCTGGCGAGTACGTCCAGGGATCCCCAGCCGGTCACCTCCAGGCGGGTATTCCCTGACTGTTGCGTACGCGGCCCCCTGGCGAGTACCGTCCAGGGATCCCCAGCCGGTCACATCCAGGCGGGTATTCCCTGACTGTTGCGTACGCGGCCCCCTGGCGAGTACGTCCAGGGATCCCCAGCCGGTCACATCCAGGCGGGTATTTCCCCGTCTTTGTTTTGGCGAGCTTCCACGAAATGAGTGCTTTCCAGTGTTCCCTGTAGTCAGCTGCCTCCAGAAAGGCATTCGACACGTTTCTTGCACCAAGCTACCCGTGATTGGTCAGGCGCAGAACAATGGGGTGATGGTGACCCCACGGCGGTGACGTCAGACCCAGAGCGGCCATGACGCGACTGCTCTGTGTTCATGCCGTCGCCGGGGACCGAGCACATCGACACCACTCCTCTTGGACAAGTGTGCTTGAGCATGGGGGGCGGACGGGGGGGGGGGGGGGGGGGGTCAACGGGCACTGTATCGACAGGTGTGGCGCGCCACGAGGCACTCACAAACACTGGCCAGTACGCGACGCTGCACATTTCTGAAGAAGCACGGCCATACCGCTCTTAGCGGGTGATCTCGTCTTCATCCGGCCCGTCTGACCATTCCGCCCCCGTCTCCCACCGTTTGGACGTCACTCCTCCTGCCTCTGACCGCACCATGTCGTGGCCCGCATGCCCCCCCCCCCCCCCACAGCCCCAGCGGCAGGTCGTAACGACTCCTGTCCGCGCAGCGGGCGCGCGTCACGACTGAGCGCCGTCGCTGAGCTTCCATACTCCCGAGATGCTCGCCTAGACCTGGTGTTCTCACATCGCACGATGTGGCGTGCTTCAGTTCAATGAGGTTTTCTCAGAGAGCGGCGGCATCCAAAGCCTTTTGGGGTTACAGCGTTTCGTGCGCACCACGAACAAAATGCTGTTTTTTGCAAAGTGGGCGAAGGTCCGGAATCCTGTCCCATGATATGGAGTCACCATGACGGAACAAAAAAATCACCTTTCCAGTCAACGAGCTTACACGCATAGTCGGCGCCATTCCGGGCGCATTTTTTTCGATTTTTTTAGATTTAATCCGAGCCTTTTTAATGGGTGAATTTCTGGAATCAAAGCTCACCCAAAGCAGTGGTTGTTGTGCAAGCCCTAACCCCTACCATCCGATCGCGCAATTTCAGGTCAACAGCAGAATTTGGTGGCGAAAGCTTAGTGTGGCGCATTGTTCGGCACGGTCCGTCCCGCTCTCTGACGTCATCTGGTTTTTATCGCGGCCGCTGCCACAGGCCGTTGACCATACCTGTCAAGGGCAAATAGCAAGTGCTTAAAGCGACTACTAAAACTCACCACGCCACGGTTGGGTGACTGAAAGGCACGCGCTCTAACCAACTGAGTCACCGGGACGGACGGGAGATGCCGACCGACAAGGAGGGCCGGGCCGGTGTGACTCCATCCCGGAGTGAACCCGAGCCCGAGGGCAGCGCGGGGCGGGCGACGCAACCTTCTGGACGAGGTACCAGACGCCGACGGCAGCCGACAGCGCCAGGCTGACCAAGTCGTGTGTGCTGAACTTGAAAGTCGATGAGATCCTCTGTGGCATCCTGAGTCAACCTCAGGTGGTACTGGATGAACGGCACCGAGGCTGGCAGCAGTCGGCCGACGCGCTCGCTGATAAGGTGCGTCAGCGCCAGCACGCCCAGCATGAAGAAGTAGCCCGTCAGCAGCAGGTTTATGTACTCCTTGCTGAAGATCTGCAGCATAATGTGACATGGTTTGAGGGATGCTGCAAGACTTGATGAGATGTGAACTTGGACTTTTCAATAAAGATTTTGAGGTGGTAATCATGATGGTAAACATTGCGTGGTAATCGTGATGATACAAACTGTATTTGCAACAAAGTTCATAAACAAGTTAAAAGAAGCAGCTTTTCTGTTACCCTTGCTTTATAAGTGTATGGGATGTGTTCAAAACTTCAGACATGGATGCCTTAACAATGATTAACAATGACAACATAAACTTTAATTAATGATTTTCCTGCCAAAGCTTTTAAAAATTAGACAACTTACCTTAAAAACAATGTAGATTCCAAATAATGCACAACTGGCTATAATTGGAAACATTGCTGCATCCTTTCGGGTCATCCTCTCAGGTTTCTCTCCTGTGCGTTCACAGTTTTCCTGAAAGAAAGACATCAACATCAGCACCTATGAAATCACCCAATTCCTCTGTCAGGTGGACATAGGCTTGCAATGCTAGTGACTACAGACATATGTACAGAAAGGATTGAGACATTACTATCCATTTTCATAGTTTATTGGGCTCACATCAATTTGGCAGTGTTGCATGCACACAGTTTGTTTGAAAATTGTATTGTTTCTTTCTCTTCCTACCACAGGAAATGTAGGAGAGGGAGGGTGACACTTCCCTCCATCAGTTGATTTCCCATCCCCAGCCACCATGTACAAACCTGTGAAAGCACTGGCACACTGTCTGCACTGCCATGGATGGCACCCCTTTAATATTATTATTTCCTTAAAAGTTCCATCAGCAAAGTATGCACATTGCTGATATCCCAGTGGGCTGAAAAAAGTTCTAAGTATTTCCACATTTCATAAAGAGCTGTATGCTCTAGCTCCTGAAACCATGTTGGCCTGCTGGTGCAATGGGTGGACAGTCATGGGCCAACCAGGACTGCACTTCAGAGAAGACACCACACATGCTGTGTTCAGTCATGGTAGGGTCATGCCACAGCCACACTGATGCCATGATGACTGTAACTGGAGCAAGGTTTCTCTGCATCAACTTGAATACTTGGTGCCATCCCAGGCTTGCATATCAGCCTTAATATGGACATTTCAGAACTTTGAGCCAACAACCCTCCATAGCCTTCAGTGGTTTCCAATGACTTCACACTAGTGGTTTCCAATGACTTCACACTCAGAGCTGCAGACACTTTATGCTGAGGTTTTCCACCACCATCCCAAAAACAGACCCCCCATAATGCATGTTACACAAATTATGCACACAAATTCTGAAAAACAGCAAATCCCAACTGCAATAACCTTGCTTACATATCCTGTTAGACCTGCATGCTGTGGATAAGCAAAGGCAAAACAAATACTCACTTTCTGGTCTGCATGATGCTTGATGGAACGAAAGGACCCAAAGAAGATAGGCAGCAATGCCATAATGACCAAGCTGCTGTAGGCAATCGCCATTCCCTCCGGGGTAGCCGGAATCTTTCCAGTACCATTTTTCACAGCTTCCGTGATGTTCTCGACAGTTTCAGTCACATTTTCCACAGTTTCCACTGCTATGTCGTCCATGGTTTCTTCTTCGAGTCACGAAGGTTTACGGCAAATGGGTGAGCGAATATCCTCAATCGCTTGCAATGACAAAACCCGTCAACAGCTCTCCATATGCTGACGTCCGCTTTCAGTTCCGCCGGTAAGACTGCATGGGCCAACGCGGGGTATATACCGTATGGACCAAATACTGAACGTGTAACAAGCTGTGCTGCCAAATTTGAAGATTTGCTTTGGGAATCGAAATTTTTTAGCAAAGGCGCAATCCCCTCGGCATCAGTCCTCGGATCCATATCATATTGTCCAAGGTACAGAATATCCAAAGATACAGAATGTCCAAGGAGCAAAATTCCAAAGGTAAAGAATGTCCACAGTTCATAATGCCCATAGCACACAATGTCCAAAATGAGAAGCAACTTCCAACATGGTGCAGAGTGGAAGGGGACATTGTGTACCTTTGGGCATTAGGTACCTTGGACAATAGGAACGCCTCCCCAGTCCCTCGAGGCTTCAGAAGGGCATTCTGTGCAGCACAAATGTATCAGGAATCCAAAAACAGGGCCCCTATGGCGACGCAGTGAACCCCTTGTCTGAAAGCCTCTGAAGGCCTCTTACGCCTAGATATGGTCCCTCTATGGCGAAATTCCGGCTACGTCACTGGTGTTTTCATAGTTTCTGAATGGAAAGCAGAACTTCGAAAACTTATTTCTCGCCTTAGACGATATACAATTTGAAGATGATGAATTTAAAAAATCCTACACATTGGATATTCTGTACTTTGGACCCTACGTACCCTGGACAATGGGAACACCATCCGTCCACACATAGCCGGTTGTATTGTGATTTGGGCTTAAGGGCGCGTCGACAGCCGCGGCCATGTTACGCCCGTTACATTTCGTTCGAGCCGATCTAAAATATATCTCCATTTTTCCGGTATTCTTCCGAGGAACAAGGCTTTTACAACTCCCTTACCGATCTGGAAACGATGTCGGAAGGCGGGGCCCGCGCGTCACCCGTTAATTGCCCGCCTACGCGCCCGGGCATACATTTTGCACGTTTCTTCGCCTCACTGCGTCAAGTCTGCGTGTCTAGGAAGTGTCTGGGAAACCAGAGGTACGGGGTTCGATTCTGCGCGGTGCCCACCCTTCGTACCAGGGTGAGAATTAGGCGACGCCATACAGCATTATCAGCTGAGTGCGTCGTAGATCCCCGATGACGACGGAAACAGCGGAGTCAAACTCATCCAGCACATTTTAACATCACTTTATTGTTCACATCAGACGACCTGCTCAGCTACTCACATAACCTTGACGATGCAATTTCTAGCGTCATGAGGTGAAAGATGAGAATGATGCTACCCTTTTCGTGATGCATGACAGTGTACAAACAAGAGACGCCGCATTACCCGGGCTAATTCAACCGAATGCCAACGGACAATTTGGGAACGAAAATCAGTGAAACAATACAAAATAGAGTACCCCAACCTCATGCAGCTTGCAGCGCGTGGGTGCTCCAGTTCTCTCCAGCTCCGCAAAGCGCGCGCCCGCCGCCGTCCGGCAACCAATCAGCGTCGGGAGTGGGACACATTCGACCAATCAGCGTCGGACACGTGACACACTGCACGAACCAGCGTCGGGAGTGGAACACGCTCCACCAACCAGCGCCGGACGTGGCACACAATCGACCAATCAACGTGCCGGCACGCGGCGACCAGCAGTTCAGCCACGATGGATGGGGAAAATGCTGTACGTATAAAACCAGTTCGGCGATCCGTCGGCTCTTCACGCTGTGGACATGGGCTCGGGGGCGGCTGCGGCGGCGGCCGTGTCTCCGGCGCCCGCCTGCTTGGTCTCCTGCTTGACGGCGTCCTTGGCCTCGGCCGGCTTGACGTCGCCCTCGTCGGTGGCCATCTTCTCCGGAGAGCCACCCTCCGTCCGCAACTTCTTCTTCTTGCCCGAGCTGGCGGCACGGACAGCGCTGTCACACACGCACGCACACAGAGGACGGCGTGATGACGACTCAGCGGCACCGAGTGTGGCACGCGCAGGGAAAGTAACGATGCCGCGATCCGCAGATACATAGGTCAACACACTGATAACGTCATGCGGTGACAATCGAAACGATGAAGTGCTCGACATTTGTGTCGGCGCTGCGCGCGCGCGTCCCCGAGCTCACCTCTCGTCACGCCGACCACCCTCGCCCTCGTCCTCGCTGTCCGAGAACTCGTTGTCGCCCTGTACCCGCTTGTCGGAGGCGCGGATGCTGACGCGCTCGTCGGGCGCGTGCGTCTTGTCCTCGTCTTCGTCCTCCTCCTCGTTCACGGCGTCCTCAGGAATATTCTGGGCCTGATGGCGGCCAGGAAGGGTCGGCACACCATTCCGGACCACGGACACGGCACTAATTCCACGTCAGCGGTGCTAGTACACGACATAATCAAACCAATGTGGGCACACTCCACACTTGCGGGCCATCACTCGCAGACATGCCAAGAACTCAAACACTACGTGCGTACACTCAGATTCAGCCATATGATTTAATAAAATTACAGCGAAAGCGGTAGAGGAAACACACACACGGTTGCTGCGGCGGAAAACGCTGAATGATGACAGCTTGGCAGAGGAAGCTCCCCTGTAGTGTAACAAAAGGAAATTCGCCAAATCGCATTGCCACCACCATAGGGACATCCAGCTATCCCTAAACGATCGCGAGGAGGAGATGAAAGGCGCGCGGCACCTGGCCACTCACCTGCACTCCTGGCGCGTGGGGCAGCATGCGCAGGTTCTCAAACAGTCTGGTCTTGATCTTGTCCAGGTACTCAGGCGTGTTCTGGTTGGCCATGTTGGACGGGCTGATGTGCAGCTTGAAGTCGGGTCCGAAGTACTCGAAGTAGTCGTTGTAGGGCAGCTCGTTGGCCACATCCACGTTGAGCGCCACGGCCGTCTCGTAGGTCCAGCAGCGGGCCACGTTGCGGATGGTGTAGCCGCCGCCGCCCAGCAGCAGCAGCGGCAGGTTGTACCGCTTGATGAACTCCACGCACTTGGCGACCTGACGGCGCACGTCAGGTGGCCGGTAGGCAGCTCCGACCGCTCGGAAGGGCGGAGACCGTCACAGGGTGAGAGGAAGCGCCGCAGTCGGCATGCCGGTGCGGCGGTAGGCAGCTCCGACCGCTCGGAAGGGGCGGCAGACCGGTCACAGGGGTGAGGAGGAGGCACCGATCAGATCGGCTAAACACGGCGCGGCCCGGTCAGGCAGCACCGACCGCTCGGAGGGGCGGCAGACCGTTCGCAAGGGGTGAAGAGGAAGCACCGACCATACCAGCTGTAGACGACGAAATCGGAAAAACACGTGCAGTCACGTAGATAGACGAGCGCGGGCGTCCAACATCGTTTCGCAAGCACCACGGCTTTGCCCTGCGAGTGACAACGCGATATCCAAAGAAATGGTGCATTTACGCACGCGGTCATGCAGACTTCCACAGCTTTTGCAGGTCATTAATTGGGTGTTTACGGGCATCCATCTTAATGCTTTCCTCTGCCGCGTTCCAACATCCCCCCCCCCCCCCCACACACACACTAAAAAGTGTTGCAGCCGCCTTTAGCCTCTGCCTGTCGAGTCATAGCAGTGCTCTCACTGCCACCTCACCTTTGAGCGCCAGGTCAAAGTGACCTTGACTGCTGCCCCCCCTTCCCCCCCCCCCCCCACCTTCTGAGTGCAAGCTGAAGCGACGTTCTGATTGCCCGTCCACCTTTGAGCACAACGTCAAAGCGGTGTTATCATCGCTGCCCCACCGCTATTGAGCGTGTGGGTTCGAGGAGTAGCTCCGACCGCCTCTCACCTTTGAGCGTGAGGTTGAAGCAGCCGAGCCGGTCGCCGGAGAGCGAGTCGGCGCCGCACTGCAGCACGATGGCCGACGGCTGGTACGTCTCCATCACCTTGGACATGATCGGCACGAAGATCTGCTCGTACACGTCGTCGTCGATGCCGTCGCGCAGCGGGAAGTTGACGGCGTAGTACTTGCCGCGGCCGGCGCCGATGTCCTGGAAAGCGACCATTCTCGACACGGGACGCGGGACACCGTCGACCGCGTTGGTCCGTCACACCAGCAGGAGCACACTTCTACAACCTTAGGTTCGTTCAAAGGCGACCGTATTTCTAGCTTGAGGGCACACACGACAAAACCATGACCTCCAGCGCCTGCGCTGACGACGGCGCCAAGTGGTCTCGTTTCACAAGTCGCTGTCGCCAAGCGTCTGTCTGAGCATCACGCATCACACAGGGCTGAAACTGCCGCGACGTCAGAGCCGACACGCATTCTGAGATCCCCCACCTGAGAGAAACACCATCCGAACATGGGACAACCGCATATCCCAATAGTTCCGCGGCGCCCATCTCCCCGGGTAGTGCTCCCAGCTCGTGCGGGAGCACTCCGACCGGCGCGGCCGCGCCCACTTACCCTGAGGTCGCCCGTGCCGGGGAAGTACTCCCCGTACTTGTGGAACGAGACGGTCATGACGCGGTCGGTGGTGTAGAAGGCCTCCTCCACGCCGTCGCCGTGGTGGATGTCGATGTCGATGTACAACACCCGCTGGTGGTACTTGAGCAGCTCCAGGATGGCCAGCACGATGTCGTTCACGTAGCAGAAGCCGGACGCCTGCAGATCAGCCACAGAGCTCATCACATTTGGGAAGGCCGACAGCCCTGTCTGTCGCACGTAAAACTTGAAACGCACGGAAGGTTCACCCCGGCGCCAGTGAGAGTGGCCGGCAGCTGCGCGTCCACGCCATAGGACAGAATGAGACCACCATGTGTAAATCGCTCAGCCCCTAGTCCGTGGCCGGGTTTCCAGCTGCGCGAACCAGGGACTGAAAACCTGAAGCTAAGATGTTTGTGCTTAATCTTTACTCACAAGGCAATGCAGGTGCATCAATGCCAAGCAGCGACCCAACAACAAAAGAACGTTTCCCACGTTCCAAAATCGTGTACGCTTTCAGCACAACATATACTTATCATAGCATGAAACCAGCTGTCTGGCGTCCCTGGTTTGGGCAGTTGGACCGAAGCGGGCTCAGCCGCCTTATCCGCCGCTTTTTCGCGCGATAAGGGCGGTTAACAACAGACTTTCCAAGTGAATGAACGATTTCACAACGAACTGT